TATTATAAAGATAAGTTATTCTCATTTCTTTCTTCTCTCTTTTCTCTTCTTCAATCAATCACTAATTTCAAGCTGATATGAAAACTATTAAAACACTCTCAGAAACTCTCAAATTGAAGAGTATAGACTAATCAAATTTTAAATACAGAAGAAATCAAATTATCTTCTATAGATTCAATTACTTATTCTCTCTCAAATAAAACAGCAGTCACATCCCTCTCTCTCTCAATCAAACAAAACATGGCCCGTGAAAAGTGAGTACCATGCCAGGTCATAATGATCAACATGGCCTCAGCACACAGGGCTGCATATGCACAGTGCATGCTGAACTGAGAGACTGTGTGAGTTGCAAATTAGCAGCAGCATCTCAGAGAGAGCTGTGCAGTGTGAGAAAGCCATAACTCTCAGTTACATGCACAGAGAGTGAATTATCACAGTAAGTGTATATACATTAAAGTAATACTTTTTGATAACACTCAGTCTCTGATATGATGAAAATAGAGTCTCTTCATGAGATTCATTTTTATCAGAAGTTAGAAAATCTTATATTTCTCAAGACTATCTTCACACACCTTGTCTGTGAAATTGATGAGAGAAATCATCAATTTCAGCATTCTATTCTTAATGTCATTCAAGTGACAGCAGAGTTCACTCTGATCATACTTTTTAAGTGTATATTTTCTAATTATTCACATTTATATAGATATATACTGATTATTTATTAGATAATGTTAAGACAATAGCTTATCACAGCTGTGTTACTCTCACTGTAAGAAATACACAGTTAATAATGAATATTATAAAGACTCTGAGAAGTGAGTATTTTGAAGATACTACAGCTCTGCAATCTTGATTTTTTTTTATTTTTATTTTTTTTTTCTCTTTCTTTCTCTTTTTTTCTTTCTCTTTCTTTCTCTTTTTTTCTTTCTCTTCTTTTTTTCTTTCTCTTTTTTTTTTTTTTTTGTTGTGATTTTTTCTTGTTATTTTATTTTTTGTTTTTTTATTATTTTTTATATTTTATATTTTTTTTTTAATTAAAATAATATCAATTATAATCTGTGTTCAGAAAAGTAATAATATTTAGTAACACTCTCTGTTGAATTTTCAATAAATGAGCACTATGTTATGATATTATGTAAGTGAGAAATGATTTCATAGTCTTATTTAATATCATTTTCAATAATGAGATTAGAATGAAAATGTGACTAAGAATTCAAACATATTCTTTATCTGAGACTAGATTTTTATTTGAAAAGTGAATCTGAGATCTTTAATATTTGAAATAACATGATTTGAAATCAATGTGATGAACATAAACCATGATCAGAAGTAATGCTTTTAGGCAACATAACAACTGTAAAGTTTGATCCTGGTCTCAGACACGGTCACATGATCAGTCTAGTTATTATAGTACAGAATAACTTCTCTAGAGCTTTCTTAATATTGATCAGACTGATGAAATAGATTGTTATATAATTCTACTATCAGTGATCTTTTCAGTGACTTTCTTTTCAGAGTATTTCATAGATGTTGACAGAGATCTGTATCAGATTCATAGTCTTGTGAATGTTATCTTTATGAACTCTATCATTGTTAGGAAATATTAAGCTTCTGTTTTAAGTATTTAACAAGATGTCTTGTTCAGATAGTCAGACAAGTTCTAATATAAAATTATAATTGAGATTATTAACTTCATATATATAGACATCTTCATATTGATATTCTCTGACATCTATGTTCAACTTCATTATGTAACAGATACAAATGTCTTTTAAGTCATTAAATTCTGTGAGAAGTCAGAGTTTTGATAAGAGAATATACTGAAGATTGTAACATCTTATAACTGAAGATTTAATTATTGTATAATAATATAGATTACTATCTATCATAGCTTTTATATTATACATGTTATCAATCACAGTAGATATAAGAATTACATTCATTGTCATTTTCTCTTCAAATTATTATCATCTGATCTCTTCAAGCTTCTGTTTGTGAATTTGAATAGAAGCTAATCTTTTTCCTGTTTCATCAGAGTATTCTCATAGTTATTTTCTAAATCTTTCTTCAATACAATATAATTAGCACAGACAGGTGTTGATTCATTCTTTAAGTGAGAAGATATATAGACTGATCAGCAGTTGAAAGCAATATGTTCTAATTAGTTACAGTTAATACACACTTCTCATTAATATTAATTAGCAACTTCTTCAGAAGTGATCTCAGAAACTCAGAAGTCTGTTCAGACAGCAGAGACTCTTACTTATATATAGATATTTAAGTCTACTCAGTTCATAACATCTGTATCATTATTGTTATTTCTCAGTGCAGATGTATAAGTGACTAAGATGTGACATCTTCTATCACTGTTCTATATACTCTTGAGCTTGATAAGATGATCATTCAATGTTTAGAGTTGTACATAGAAATCTTTATAAGTCTGATTTTTATCTATGCTTATAAGAGTCTGTAAGAGTTTAAAAGTTAATATCTTCTTAAGTATACTAATCTTCATTTAATTCTCTCAAGATTGATTATCTGCTTCTAGAATCTTGATATTGAAGTCAGAGATAAATATTATAAGAGAAGTGTTTCTCTATCAGATACTCTGTAATCAATCTAATACTTTCTATTATATGACAGTGTCTCAGAACAGAATATCAAGATATTTGATAATATTATCAGATGTTTATAATACTGATTCATACATGCTTTTATTTATGAATGAAACTTCTGTTTCACATGATTTTTCAATTATTTATTGATATATCAATCTTGATTGATTAGTGAACTGATGACATCTTCATCTACACTCAGTTTTATAAGCATTTTCATTCTTCATGATGAGTAGAGAGTGAGATTGAAAGTATTAAAATATATAGAAGTATTTAAGTATTCTTTTAATACTTTTATATTCAATTCTGTAGATGTTGAAATTGTATGAGTTTCTTATTAAGATAATTGTTAAATCTCTTCATATTAATATTATTGAGTTGCATGTATATCAGCTATTTATTATTATTATAATTTCAATATTGTTTAAAGTCACTGTGACACTGTATTTATACTTATATTTAAGAGTTCTTTCATATTATTGTTAGACATGATTATATTAATTATTAAATATGTAATTGTATAAATATCTTATACATCTGTGTCAGAACTCTCAGATCTTTCACTGATATTCTCTTTATAAGATCTTATTCTCTTCATAAGATCTTGTTATAAGATCAGAGTAACTGATAAGTAAGCTTCTATCTAGAGACTCAGTGTTCATTTAACTGATTAACTGTTTCTCTATTTCTTACATATTATTACATGTTCAGATATTTTCTCAATGAATAATCATTTCTAATAAGAAGATAATAAACATTTTTCAAGTGTAAGAGATCTACACTGAATAGATCAGTATAATATATAGGTCTTATAATACAAAGTGAAAAATGTTAAAGAAGGAAAAGAAAGAGAAAGTGTGAGAATTAGTAATCAGAGTGAATATTTATACATGTACACAGTGTGTACACAGTGAAGCTTCAGAGTGAAAGAATAGGAATTCTGTGAGTTTTTCAGCTGAGGATCAGCAACTGAGAATCGGAGCTTTCAGCGGAATCTGTGGAGTGTAATGGAATAGTCTATATAATTGATCGGGCGCAGCCCGCCACATCAGTTGATTCTCACTTATGTCTTGATGATCTTAAATACAAAATTGTACAGTATTTGAGATATCATAGAGAAGCTGTGATTGAATAACTGATTAATATGAAATAGAAGACATTGTTCTTCAGTATTTGTGAGATTCTGACAGTAAGCTGATGTTATCTCTGTTCTGAAGATCTGTTGATCTTTGAACTGCTGCATCAAGATAATACAATTGATTCTGAATTCCTTTACAACTGCAGCATATTTAGGAATCAATTGTTGATTCAATTGAGCAATTGCTTGCTCTATAATCACTTCATTGGGTGGCATGGTGGGTGGTTGAAGTTGAAGAGTTGCAGGGATTCATGGAAAAAATAGCAGTTCGTTGGGTGGATGAGTTCGTTGGGTGGTGAGTCACGTTAACATTAGCCCCAGAAGATCATCGGCCCGTTGGGCCGTTGAGCCAAACCTTGGAAACCTGGCCATGGGGAAAGTACAGGAATCCAAATACACAAGCACATACTCCTGTTGGTATTTCGGAGGCATAGCCGCTGGAGGGACGTGCAGAGTCAGGTAGTTTTGACACTCTCCACTAAGTTCTGACTTTGAGGTATGATACACGTTAATAACATTCCTGAATTGGAAAACTTATGAGCGGCGACGTTGTAGGCAACATCGTACGTAATCAAAGGGGTTGAGCGAAAGGGAACGATGGAGAGCTGAAGGTAAAGCACCAATTATTGACTGGATACTGGATATCAGGATTCGCTGGACAGTGAACATTGGTATCAGGCATGTTTTTTGAGAAATGAATCTGATTCCACAGTCGTTCTTGGTAGCGTTCGGTTTCCCCAGATACCCCAAAGATTGTTAACGTACTCTGTTCTCTCCGAATATTGAGAGAAAGGAGGCTCATCTCGTAGTCCTGGTGGAGATGAGGTGCAGAAAGGCTTTGGAGAGAAACCAGCGAGGCGAAAAGGCATCGCGCTTATTACGACAACCAAGGGTGGTCATTGTGATATCTATGCTTCTCAATTTTGTAGGTACAATGTAGAGACAGAGGCATTCTCCGTGCCTTGGGACACTGTTCCGCTATGGGTCACAATAATACTATTTTCGGACAGAGCCAAAATCTCCTCACAAGGTTATTGAATACACAGAGGCAGGGACTTTACCTTCGATCAAACATCATCTAAAAGTCCTATTATTGGATCATGACTACTACTATCTCTATGATCACTCAGTATTGCTACGATCATATCCTTTATACTAGGGGCAACTGCGAGTTTCTTATTTTGAGATTATACGCAGTACTACGGAGTATTTTTTTTTTATTTTTTTTTTCGTCAAACTTATTTTTACTTGATGGTGAGTAGCTCCTCGGAGCGGATCTACTTTTATACGTTCGGGCAATGGGCAGGGGAAAAATCGCCTTCGGGACTGGTTTCTAAGCAAGGTCAAAGCCAAACCCCACTATTTCCAAGGTTGCGTGTCTCGTCCTGTCATGGAGTCCGGCAGTATGGAGGTCAATAGCAGCTTCTCAGAATTTTGCCTTTATGTGTTTTATCTCACCCTGGAGTCAACAGCGGCAGAACTACTATCTATTGAGAGGACATCGATTTCGCGATCGATTGACGCCAAGTCTACATATGTGCAGCAGCCATAATGCAAGTGTTTAAGGTACTATGAGCTTTCTTTGGCTTGTCAAAATTGGGTATAATACTAATTGGGAAAGGATAGACCACATTTTCGGTGCCTCTAACTTGCGATGCCTGTATCGAGGAGGTATCCAAGCCCATCTACGCTCTTGACGGTAGGTGGGATATACAGTCAATGCTTTATCCTCCTAGTACCGCAATCAAAACATGTGACTCACGGCGAGAAATATCTAGGGGTCAAGAACGTGCAAGGTAGTTTGAAGGACCAGATCCTCCTCATTGAAGGAACGGTAGCGCCTTCTGCCATAGTTGCTGCAATCCAGAGTACTGGTAGAGATGCTATCCTTAGAGGGAGCGGATCCTCAAACAGTTAGTCTCACCTCCCGGGCACACCCCCGGCCCCTTGTATTTTTATTCTATACTATACGCGAAAGGACCCCCGCTTACTGTTTTGTTAAATATTCTTTTTGCGAAAAAAGATGCGTCAGTATGTATCCTAGAGACACACTCCAGTACCGTACAGAATTCAATCCGTGGACTTGTGCGCATGGTCCAGGTTTCCCCGAAGTTGACACTTGTTGATCTTACGATAAACGGCCTCCCGCCTGGGAAATATTGGGCTACGGTACGTGATACGGGAGATATCTCCCAAGGACCGGCATCGACTGGCGGCATATGGGAGGCTCTGAAACAGAAGGTCCAAGGATCGGCCCTCCCGCGAGGAGTATTTGGCGAGGTAGAAGTGGGCAGCGATGGAAAGGGGAACGTCTTCCTTGACCGTCCAGTTGCCGTATGGGAGTTGATTGGGAGAAGTATGGTTGTGTCAAAATCCAAGGAGGGGCCGTTCCAGAAGGAAGATCCAAACACGCTGGTTGGGGTTATTGCTCGCAGCGCTGGCGTATGGGATAACGATAAGATGGTATGTTCTTGTTCCGGTCAGAACGTATGGGAAGAACGAGTAGAGCAGGTTTCGAAGGGAATGTTGTGAAGAATCGCTGTGGATATTCCCGTGTTTAAGTTGACTGAAGGTCATTTTGATGGCTGTCTGTCTTCTTGGCCCCTTGGAGGGTATTCCCAGACGATGCAGTCGTTTGAGCCCTGGGGTTGAGGGGCCATACTAATGGCGAGGGAAGGTTAAGAACAGGCTAAACTTGCGATTTCAAGTTGGCTGAAAATGCTTTTTTTTAAGATGTGATACCAGATTTAAATAGCAAACAATTATAAGGAGAAAATGATATGATACTTGCGAAAATAGTGGCTGGCAAGGTATTCCAGGACTGGGCTTCATGAGTCTACGTCTGGTAGAGGCCGAACCCCTGACACTCACATCAAACCCAGACTTGCCGGAAACTCAGCCATGGACATGTGTTTATATGCGACAAAAGCTGCAAATCAAATCAGATTGAGCAATACAGAAACATGTTAACTATTCTCACATCAGATCATGGTATCGATCAGAGTAGAACAATAATAATCAACACATACCGACTTTTCGTCTGATAGTCAAAAGACCTCCATCCGTCCATTTCGCGTTGGCCTGTAGAGATCGGCGGTTAAGCGCCCCTAAATGTTCCTAGTCCCCGCCAACCCCGTCGCAGGCTGCGCGCCACACGCGAACAACCAACCACCGCCGGCAGCAGATGCTATGCCATGCCATGTTTCCTCGCTCTTTGGCGAGCGTCCAAGAGCCAGGGGCTGTTGTTGACCTTGCTGCATTCTGGACCAGCCAAATGACAGCCGCAACGGGTTTATTATCTGCCTTCAGCTGGAACATCGGCTTCGAGCCGAGGCCGGCCTTCAATGCAAGGAGGAGGGCCAGACGTGATCTCCACCCAGTTCCTTGCTTCAACAAGTCACATCTCACAAACCGTGTTTCGGGTCCATGGCGGATCCTGGCTTTGGTGCAGCATCTTGGCCTTTTGTGACACATTACCCCTCTGGCTTCCTGCGACAATGAGCATGTTTAGGCGGCTTGCCCCGCCGCCCCTTGCTCAGGTCAAGGGGACAGCCCCGTCGCCTGCAAAGAGGTCGCTGTCATTCTAGCCGATGTCTGGCCTTTTTCTACTCTCTCGACCTGACGGGGCGGCAATTTGACTCCTCCCATTTGACTAATTGTTGTATGTTTTTTCTGTTTATTTTTATCGAGCAAGAAAACCCAGAACGGAAAGGGAATATCGACTACAGGCTGGCCCTCCTACGGATACAACTCACACGGCTTACCGTTTATTGAATCGTTACTCCTATTTTCTGCATTCGAGGCTCTCGCCTACCGGTGAATTCGGTTGTCTAGGGTTATGCTAGGGCGCAGATATCCAGATATCCTTCAGGAAATCCTTTAAATTGTCGACTTCTCATTATTGATTTGCAACCAGACATATCTAGCTAACGTGCAGGAGAAATAATGGCTGTCTACGCTGCGTAAGTCTGCAAGCTGCATCTTGGCCAGCCGTCCGGAATAGGATATTTAGCAAAGCCAACTCGAGGGCCCCTGTCATACCTTACCCGAATACTCCCCAAGGGAATTGCTCGGCGGCTACGTGGTTAATTTGGCAGGCTGGGACCCCAAAAAGAGAGGATCAACTGCAAGCCATTCCGCTAATCACAGCCATCACGCGCCCAGAGCACTTCCCTTAGGCGAATTGGCGAGGAGAGTGTGGCCGGTTTAGCCACCTCGAGATAGATAATACGTCTGTCTCTCTCCATCTTTCGTTTCTCCCTCTAAAACAAATCTTAAGCACAAACTCGACATACATCTAGCATCGAGAAAAACCCGCCTTTTACGAGTTGTATATTATTCTATCAAACTGAAGAACTCTCGCTAGCGTTTAACTCAAACCATCTGATAATCAGCGCTTGGGACTGAACAACCGGCCTTGCGTCTGTGTTGCGGGGAACGCCGCAAGTTGCGCAATGTCTTTAAAACAGGTACGGAAACCGCAAGGAAGACACATTTTAGAGTATTTGGTTTTGATATCCTTCAGATGACTGACTTTACTCTTTTTTATATAGGAGATCGAAACCTGGGTTCAAGCTCTTGCGAACTACGATAATAATGAGTTCGAAGAAGCGCTAAAAGTCTTTAATAATATCGCCGATACATCGAAAATCCTCTTCAACTGTGGTGTCATCTATGCAACTCTGGGAGAGCATTTTAGAGCGGTATGTTAAAAACGGAAAAAAAAAAAAAAAAAAAAAAAAAAAAAAAAAAAAAAATCGGATGAAGGCTTTATAATATAACAAAGGTATTAATTCTTTGTTTGCTTCTAGGTGGAATGCTATCAACGGGCCGTTGCACTTGATCAGTATTTTGCTGTTGCATATTTCCAACAAGGCGTCTCCAACTTCCTCGTGGGCGATTTTGAAGAAGCTCTCGCAAATTTCAACGATACACTACTCTACCTGAGAGGAAATACGTCGATTGACTATGAGCAGCTGGGGTTGAAATTTCAATTGTACTCGTGTGAAGTTCTATTTAATCGCGGCCTATGTTACATATATCTCCAGCAAACAGAGCCTGGCATGCAGGACCTTCAATATGCTTCAAAAGAAAAGGTTAAGCCGGATCACGAAGTCATCGATGAAGCTATCAAGGAAAACGCAGATGTAGGTCACTCAAGCTCACGAACTTTGTGCGTTCCCTTGGATGCTTTTGACTAACATGACCTACCCAGGGTTATACTGTATTCTCTATTCCCGTTGGGATTGTATACCGACCAAGTGAAGCGAAAGTTAAGAATCTAAAAACCAAGGAATATCTCGGGAAAGCCAGACTAGTTGCTGCTTCTGACCGTGCAAATGCCTTCACTGGCTTCCAAGGGTCCGAAATCAAAAGAAATGCGGTCGACACAGCAAAAGACGACCGGCCGCCGGAATCAATCTCATTTGCAGCTTCAAATCTAGTTCAGAAGGGCTTGACCAGTCGTGGAGGCAGACAGCAATCAGAACCACCTATCAGCCGAAATTTGTTCCCACCGACCCCGCCGCCCGAATCAGAGAAACCACCCTCTGTTGCAGGCAGTGGCTCTCCTAGCAATTCATCTGGTTTATCAGGACGCGGCCCTCGGCCACCGATGCTGGATTTGGGTCGATCAGCCATACCCACGAACGACTCCGGGGCAATGGGAACACAGAAACCGATGGAGAGGCCGCGGATAGGAACCGTCCGAACAGCATCAGAACCTCGCGGCCCGCCCTCCAGACAGCATTCTAACGCGCGGAGTCGTGACCAAAATGGTCGACCTCTGTACCGAGAAACCACCAGACGAATGCAACGGGACTCTAATTTTTCACCTGTCGATGAAGACGTGTACGCCGATGAGGTCTACGACATGTACGCTCAACCTCACAATGGCCGATTGGGTGGAAACACCAGGGGGGCAAGTGTCAGGCGGCAACGACAACCAGCACAGCATCAACCCCGTTACCTAGAAGATGGCGATTACGTTAGCGACACATACGAAGATGATTCAGCGGATGACGGCGAGTTTGAGATGATGGGCGCTCCTCCTCCACGTACACACCGGCGGCAACCCTCACGGCGGACAGATGTGCGCAAAATCCGAGCCAAGGTGCATGCCAGTAGCGACGTGCGATTTATCATGATTGGGTCGTCGGTTGGCTATAATGAATTCGAAGCTAAAATTCGGGATAAATTTGGGTTTAAGAAGCGGGTGCGGTTGCAGATGCAGGATGATGGAGATATGGTTACGATGGGTGACCAGGATGATCTTGATATGCTGCTTTCGACGTCCAGGCAGGAGGCGAGGAGGGAGGGGCTTGATATGGGGAAGATTGAGGTATGTTCCTTGCTTTCTTTCTTTCTTTTTTCTTTTATCCCCGAACTTTAGACGAGCTTCTTTCTTCTCGTGACTTATTTATCCCCGTGTCTGAGACTGACTTTATTTTTCTACTGCAGATTTGGGCGCAAGAAGTATGAAAAATGCTTTATGTATAGATATATCTGCTCTGTCCTTCTGTCTCCATCTTCCCCTACAATTCAACCCATTTTACGAGACGATGACTTTCATATTCCGTGCTTATAATCTACACATGAATCTACGAGCTCCGTACTGCATATTATTTGTCCATCTCACCTTTCCATAATATACCACCGTTTGTCTATTGATATCTAGCCCGTTCTATGTTTCTCCCCCGTCTCCCCTCCCGTAAATTTTTGGTACTGTATTGATATCCTGGTTACTTTCGCGTTTTCGTTTTTGTTTAGGTTCCTTGTCTGTATTCTAGCATGCAGGCAGTACTTCATGAGAGGAAAAAGAGTGAATCGCACTAAGTTAGCTATGCAGCTATGTGACAATGCAGAATTAATTCGTTCTTTTTCTCTTCTTCCTCCATTTAGGATCTTGTTTATTTTTCCTTGCGAACTCATCCTACCTAGACTTTTTTGGATATACATATAATTGAATAATTTCTGACATTTTATTTTCTTCTCCCAGTTTTCTATTTCCTTCTATTTTTTTTCTTTTTCCTTCTTTTTCTTCTTGTTTTTCCCTATCTTTCTATACTCTTTTACCCTCGTTCCCCTGTTAACTCTTCTTGGCAATTCTGCACAGCTTGAGGCAAGTAGTGCCTGATTAATGACAGCCTCGGGTGGGCAGCTTTCATGTAGGCAGGTTGTCAGAGGTATTTCCTGGGATATTTCCGGGGATATTTCCGTGGTAATATGGGCACTAGCTCAGCTCATTAATCTATCTTTATTATACGATATAAATACATACCCCTTCATATTTACAAAATTCTTCGGTGTTCTTTTTTTGGATATAACAATGGTATCTATCCCCATTTCAACAGTTAGTTAACCCGAACTGTGGCTGCCGGCATGACTAAGCATCGTCTCCGCAAGGCCACAGTAGCCACAAACGCAGCAAACACACTCAGAGCTTCATTTCAACATCCGCCAGCACAGCAACACAACATCAATTGGGCATCCATTATAGGCATCTTTTGTGAAATACACATACGCATACACGCATATATCCCCTCCTTCTCAGATATCTCAATACCGGGCATAACCAATGCAACGGTAACGACCGTAATGACGGACATCACCCCTCTCGTCAGCGAGCTCCTCAAGGCCCATGGCACCAGGGTGACTCAACCCAGATCCAAATCCGGGGAAGAGCAGCGGCCGTCAACAGAGACTGTAGATGAGTTTTTGAAGGAGGCGTATAGAATAGTATGTAAAACGAAGTTCAACGACGTTGGAATGAGAGGGAGAAATGCTCTATATTTTTCTATACTTAGGACTTATCCAAAATAAAACATGCCCCAATTTTGAGCTGTCTGGAACTAACACACCAAACAACACATTGACAGAACGCCCATATAACCTCCCTCCTCACCTACTTAAAGTCCATCCGGCAATCATATCTTTCCACCTCCCCGCGGACGCATTTCTCCCAAAATACCCACCCCCATCGCCGCCATTCAACCACCACCTCCCTCCAACAACCACCAGACCAGAAACAGCAAACCCTAACCGACACGGACCGCGACACAATCGACTCGTCCACCGCCCTCGTCCTCCGCGACCTCTCCAGCTCAATCAGCAACCTCGCCTCCGCCGAAACCCTCCGCCAAGAAACGCAATCGACTCTCCTGCGCAAGAAATTCGGGCTCGATTATAAGAACAGCGCGCTGTGGAAATGGGCTGCCGGGGGAAGTCAGGTGGAGAAGAGTGCGGGGACGGGTTCGGCAGAGCAGGCACGGCTAGAGGAGACGGAGCGGACGCTGAAGACGGTTCGGGAGAATGTGTTGTGGTGGTTGCGGAGGCGGTTGGAGGGGGTTGCAGAGGTGCAGAGGGGGATGGTGGAGAAGCGGATTGAGCGGGTTCGGGAGAAGGAGAAGAGTATTTTGTATAAGATGAGTGGTGTTGCTGGGGTTGGGGCTGGTGTAGGTGGAGTAGGTGCAGGGAGTGAGGGAGGGTCGTTCCCGATGAGGGACCGCGTTGCCGGTGCAGCTGATGTCCCGCCAGATATGATTGATGAGAAAGAGAAGGCTGAGATTGAATCGAAGCTGTCGCCGGAGCAGCTGCAGTTATTTGCGCAGGAGAATGAGGGACTGTTGAAGCATTATGAGGATACGTTGGGCAAAGTGAAGTATGCGACTCTGCACTTTTCCCCCGGTTTTTATTTACTCTTTATTGTCCCCTATCCCCAGTCCTTCAACAAAGAAAAACGACGAAACATCAGGAAACCTATGTCGAGAGACCACGCGCTAATCAATTTTTTTTTTTTTTTACAAAAAAATAGGAACGCCGAGAAATCGCTCCTAGAGATATCCTCCCTGCAGCAGACGCTGGTCATGCATCTATCCACGCAGGAAGATTTCATCAACCAGCTTGTCTCGGACGCCGCCAGCACAGAGGCCAATGTAGGGCAAGCCAATAAGGATCTCAAGCGGGCCACTGAGCGGCGGAGCACGGCGCAGGCAGTCTTTTGGGGGACTGTTGGGCTGTGTACGTGGTTGATTATTTGGGATGCTATATTTTGATTCGGATATATATATATATAGCCATGGATGTGATTTATTCTGGCGGGATTCTTTGTAGACAGGTGGTACATGTAGGAGGAGGTTAGTGGTAATTGATAAAGGCAGACTGTACTGTTTTTTGCAGGTATTTCATGCTTGTTAAGATCTCACTGAACATGGCGGTGTACGAATGTACAGAGTACATGTACCTTGTACGTACATTTGCCTACTTTATCCATAACATACATTTCGCTATCACAGACAGCTCCTAGGCGTTTGTACCGATGGCAATAAACGTCAAAAACTAATCGTAAATAATCGACATCCATCCTTGCTGGGCTTGACTATTATAAGTTATCTCCCACTCACCCCACGAGTCAATGAGACGACATACATACATGTCTGTCTAAACTCCTAAAGAAATACAACATAGAGATTATAGTTATTGGCATGATGGCCCATCCCCGCCAAGCCATCCTCATATCAGTCTTTTGCCCCCGTCCTACCAGTTAAACTAGTTAAACCCGTTAGTTAAACCGGGGGACCTTTTTGGTGCCTGGTAGACTTGGCAATCACAAACGGGTCGGGCCTGGCCTAATTTTTGACTCTTGTCTCTCTCTCTTTTACTTTCTCTCCACAGTTCGCCCTTTTTCTTGTTTTCCTGAAACGGCTCTTGGGCGGTTTCGGGTTTCCGATTTCTGTTCCTCTCCTCCCTAACCCCTAACCGCCGTACATCGGCGCAAGATGGAGGTGCTTTGAACTCCCCCCCCCAACGACGCCTCCCTTCGTTTCTTTTATATATATATAAAGTAATTTATATGTATATAATCTTTTCCTACGGATATACCATTCGTTACATCTAGACCCAGGTTGTCTTGGTGTTCTGCTGCCCAAGAAGCCCTAGCCCTATTATATTCGTATTCCTCATATTCGTATTACGTCTATGGGCTCTTTTTCACGCCCGCAAATCCCCACTTCTTATATTTATATTTATATTTATATTTATATTTATTTTGAATCTACTCCTCTGAATATACGAGAAAGGGCAGCTAGGTAACCCCTGGTCACCCGTTTCCCCCCTGCTGCGCGGTAGCCATGGCTCCTCCCCCGAAAAAACGCGATGATAACTGGATTGATGTACGTCGTTGCACGGGCGCTTTTTCGTTACAATATATATTTATATATATTATTCCCCCATATATAAACCCTCCCACCCCCTTGCTATGAAACTAACACAACCCCCGGCAGGGCCTACGCGGAATCGCCTCCTTTATCGTCGTAACCGGCCACCTCCTCACCGCATTCGCACCAATCCTGCACTCCCCCTCCTCCTCGAAGGAAGGCTGGCCTTTACTCTTCCAGCTCCCCATCCTCCGCCTCTGCGTCGGCGGCCGCGCCGCAGTCTGCATCTTCTTCATCGTCACCGGTTTTGTCAACTCACTCAACCCGGTCAAGAATGTGCAGGCCGGCAACACCGAGCTGGCCCTCACGAACCTGGCCAAGGCCACCTTCACCCGCTCTGGCAGGCTATTTTTCCCGACCAATATCGGGGCGACGGTGGCCTGGGCCGTGTGTCAGCTGGGCGGGTTTAATATTGCGCGCAGGGCTGATGCGGGCTGGGTGCGTATGGTGAGCAAGGTGCCTGGGCCGACGTTTTGGGCGGCGGTTAAGGCCCTGTTGAGGAATTGGACATTATTTTGGAACGATGGCTCCGGCACGTATGACCCGGTGCATTGGACGATTGTTTTCTTCCTGAGTGGGTCGATGCGGATTTATTTGACGCTGCTGGCAACGTCGTCTATTAGTTCGCGGTGGAGAGTTGCTATTGTTGTTGGGTTGTATATCTTCTCATGGTGCACGAGTGACTGTAAGTTCAGGTATCTATATATATATACATGCATGTGACATATATAAAGCTAACACCCCCAGACATCGTCGGCATAAACATAAACTCCGGCCTCCTCCTCGCCCACCTGCAAGTCACCTACGGCTCCCGCGCAACATCCACCCTCCCAAAAGCCCTCCCAGCCCTCCTCATCCTCACCGGCCTCCTCATCACCTCCTTCCCCCAGGACAACCACGACTGGACCAGCTGGTCCCTCGCCATGCGCCGCATCATGCTCAGCATCACCCCAGCCTCCGCCGACCGCTTCATCGGCCGCTACTGGGTCAACCTCGGCTGCACGGTGCTGATGACGGGCGTCTTCTTCTCGCGCAACGCGCGCCGCATCCTGACGCTGCCGCTGTTCAATTTCCTGGGCCGCTGCTCGTTCCCCGTCTACCTGCTGCACAACACGCTGCTGCGATCGCTGCTGGTGTGGATGGTGTACGGGGCGGAGGCGTGGGATAAGGAGGCGTGGGGCCGGGTGAAGGAGGATGGGACGCCGGCGGAGTTGCGGCGGGGCGGGTGGGGCACGTTCGCGGTGGCGGTGCCGGTTTTTTATGTGGTGTTGTATGCTACGGCGTATTTTTGGATGGAGAGGGTTGATCCGCTGTGTGCGCGGGTTGTGTTTTGGATGCGGGAGAGGATGTTTGCGGGGGAGGTGGAGTTGGGGAGGGCGGGTGGTGGTGGTCTTCATAATGGTAATGGTATTGGTAACGGCGGTGCGAATGGTGTTCTGAATAGCAGTGCCAAGGGGACCTTGACGAGGGAGAGGGAGAAGGAGAAAGAGCAGGAGTTGTTGGTGGCGGGGTTGGTTTCTAATGCTGGTGCGAGCGGGAGCGGCTCTTCATGAGGGAGTGTTTTAAGGGGTAAGGGGGGGAGGGGGGGGGGTCCATTTATCTATTTATCAGATCGATCCGTGCCATACGAACATATATCTATATATATATATATATATACCTGCGACGGCACATACCCGGCGTTATGTTGCATTTTTATTATTATTATTTTTTTTTGTCCGGGTTTAACTAATAATGTGCTTCCCTCCTTTTTGTTTACTATTTAATTGTGACCTTTTTTCTGTGGAAGGTGTAAAGCTTGTGCGATTGAAAGGTTGCTAGCTTGTGGAAAGTTATACGGTGGAAGGATTAGTAAGCCAGATCACATGACCTGACATTTTCCTTTTTGGATTGGGGATTCTGCATATATTTTTTTCGTTTTCGGTTTTCGCTATATATACCACCAAGCATACTTACTACTCTACTACTCCTACTCCCACTATACTACAACTACGAAACAATAGCATAGACAGACATATTATCCCATCTATTCCACTACCGCCTCCCCGCCCCTCTTTTTGTTTTTTTTTTTTTTTTTCTTCTTATTGTCTAGTTATCCCTTCCCTATTATCCCTTTCCGATATAATCGTCTTTGCCACAGCGATAGCCCCCATATACCACTCCGCATTTACTTCATACCCGTGGGCTAGACCCACCCACCCCCCCACCGATGAGATTGAGTACGGAGTAGTCCGTACTGAAAGAAGAAGCACAAGAAAATAAAAATAAAAAAACAAAGAAAATAAATTCAAGAACAATGTTTCTTTCCAATTGGTTTTCACCTCCACCTACCTCCGCTTAACTATGATAAGTAGACCAGAGGAGAGAAGAGAGGAGAAGAGAGCAACTAGTTATATAAAACAAACAATAAAAATAAAATAAAAATAAAAAAATAGATAAATAGATAAATAAAAAAGCATGGTGTCAAATCTGTCTGTCTTTTTTAACCAAACCAACTCAAACTGAGAGAACCCATCCATCCCTCATATATTTTACCTTCCCACCTTTTTTTTTTTCTTCCCCTTTCTCCCTTTTCTCAACGAACCCCTACCTACCTCCTATTTTCTGTCTTCTCCAACCTACGAGGTCTCCCGCACGACACTGTCGACAGCCTCCGCGAAGTAATCGATATTATTGCCGTTCAGACCCGCCATGGAGATACGGCCGTTCTTAGTCTGCACGTCGGATATCAAGGTAAGCAAGGGGCCGTCCCATATATATCAAAATATAAAGGGGGGAAAAGGATAACCCACCATATAAATATGCCACTTCTCCCTCAACTGCGCAACCTGCGCTTCACTCAACCCCGTAAAACTAAACATGCCAATCTGGCTGGTAACATGATCCCAGCTCCCCGGCGTCCCCTTCTTCTCCAACCTCTCCCTCAACCCGCGTCTCATCTCTATAATCCGCCCGCTCATCGTCTTCAGGTCGCTCTCCCACTCCGCAAACAGCTGCGGGTCGTTTAGCACCAGCGACGCAATCCGCGCCCCGTACGCTGGCGGGTTCGAGATCTCCGAGCGCTGCAGGATAGCCAGCTGCGAGGCGATGTGCGCGCTGCTCTCGACAGCCTGTGGGCCGGGGCCGGCGATGAAGTGGAAGGCGCCCGCCCGCTCGCCGTAGAGGCCAAAGTTCTTCGCGAAGGATTGCGCGATGCATAGCTCGAAGCCCTGCGCGACGAAGTAGCGGATCGCCCAGGCGTCGCGGTGCAGGTCACCCGATGCGAAGCCCTGGTAGGCGCAGTCGAAGAAGGGGAAGTGGTTCGCTTCGCGGATGACAGCTGCGATCTGTTTCCATTGGTCCTGTGTTGGGTCGACGCCGGTGGGGTTGTGGGCGCAGGCGTGCAGGACGATGATGGAGCCGCGCGGGGCGGAGCGGAGGGCGTCGAGCATGCCGGTGATGTCGAGGCCCATTGTTGTGGGGGAGAAGTAGGGGTATTTTGCTGTGCGGAGGTGGACGTTTGAGAAGATCTGTTGGTGGTTGGCCCAGGTTGGGGTGGAGAAGTAGATTGTTGGCGGGGGTTTGGAGGGGTGGAATTTGGAGAGGAAGAGGCCGCCGAGATGGACGGCGCCGGTGCCGGAGATTGTTTGGAGGGTTATGGCCTGTGGATGGGTTTGGATTATTATCGGGTGGATTTAAGGGGTATGGAGAGAGGTGTATGTGGATGGATTGACAGTACTTACCCGCTTCTCCTTGATGGCGGGTGAATCTGCGCCGAGGATAAGTTTCTGGGCAGCGCTGGTGAACTCTGGCAGACCAGCGATGGGGAGGTATTCATGGTTTAGATTTGGATCGTTGCGCAGGATCTCATCGGCCTGTATGATATTTATTTTTAATACATCTGAAATTCATTTACGTAGTTTGATAGCACGCTTAGCGATACACACACCACCCCACTTCCCCCCCCCCCCCCCCCCCCAACAAAAAAGAAGCCACTACTAACTAACCTTTTTCACAACAGGCAAGATCCAGGGCTTCGCATTGTTATCTCTGTAGGCACCAATGCCCAGGTCGACCTTTTTATCGGAAGGGTCCTGTTTGTAGGCGCGCATCAGGCCGAAGAGGGGGTCTTCGGGGGCCTGAGGCACGGACGTAGCCGTGAAGATGGAGGGGGAGGGCGACGCCATGGCGATGTGGCGGGAGATGTTGGCGAGACGAGAATGGGCTGTGAAGTTTGGGGTTAAGGAGGAAGATGACGATGACCTGGCTGGAGCGGCAGAGTAGGAGGGAGAATTGGAAGAGGAGTTGGAAGAGAAATGAAGTTGAAAATGAAGTTGATGTTGATGTTGATGTTTATACGAGGAGGAGGAGGAGGATAGCGGCGGAAAGGAGAGCTGCTGCGGGGAGTCACGCGGGGCAGACATGGCGGGCGGTGGCTGTGGCCAATCAGCGTTCGCGCTGCTGGCTCCTGGGCACACAGAGGGCGAGGGCGAGGGAGAGAGAGAGAGAGAGATAGTGTGTGTGTGTGTATATACAGGGGCGAGCGACGTAGGCGAAGTAGGCGGGTCAACGGGTAGAGTAGTGAGTTGGTTATATCACAAGGCGGCGGTTGAAAGAAAATATCAGAGACAGAGATGAATCATGATGATGCTTTCCTCGGATTTAAGTTTGTTTACCAAGGAAAAATAGAAAAAGAAAAGGCCGATGAAGCCCCGTTCTTACGCAGTAGATACCCAAGCAGGACAAGGACGAACTGGTTATTTATATTATTTAATATTATATATTATTGTATCCCCGTACCAACAAGCCGAGGCAGTGGATGGGCGGCGTCACAAGAATTGAATAGCAATATATCCATCCGTAGCTAGTCTTTGTACGGAGTATTGAGATATATATATATATATATATATCAGATGATTTTGAGACTCTTCGGAGGACTCTGTAGACCATTTTCATGTGCCTGATTTATTTTATATTTTATATATTTTATATATTATTTTATTATTATAACTTATTAATTACAATATGTTCTGCCATCAGCCATTCACAGCGCTCGGCTAGCCCTACTTCCAAGCAGTGATTGAGTTCGAAATGCCCGCCCGATGCCGTCATTGGCACGTAATCCGCGGGCCATTTCTCTGTTCTCGATGTTTTACTATTTTATTCAACCAGAATATTATCAATATATTTCTTTATAATAATTCTCATCTATTGTAGAGGCAAAAATGGGCAAAACATACCCAGCCAACAAAAAGAAATCCTGGGATGAACCACCCGTTCTCCTGCCCTGAGATCCAGCGCGGACTTTTTCAAGTTCATGAATTACTAAAATTTATTTTTTTTCTATTTTTTCTGTTTTTTTTTCTGTTTTTTTTCTTCTTCTTTTTAGAATCTCAATCATGGAAGAGCACCAATCAACAATAGGGGAAGTGAAGAATTTGTAAAGATGTAATCCCCCGGAAAAGAAGGGAGCTTGGCCGAAAGTCGTTTTTCCTTTTTTCTTACCCAGGAGGATAGTGTTGGGAGATATATACAGTGAACAATGTAGATCAGCATATCAATAACTGAAGAAAGAATTAAATAAAGAAACAGATACTCAAATTGCTTTCAATTGTAAGATAAGCCTCTTGACAAATGCTCAAGTTATATATATATATATATAAGAATAGAAATATATATAATCTCATGAATATACACTTACTAATTGTGATAATAGCAGAATCTCTAGTAGTTAACATTAAAAGATCCAAAAAAAATAGGCTGAAAAGAACAAATAAGAAAAAAACCAAAAAAAAAAATTGAGAAAAGAAAAAAAAGAAAAAAAAAAGAAAAAAAAGAAAGAGAAAAGAAAAAAAGGGGGGCAGGGAAAGAAAAGGGAGAATAAAAGAAAAGAAAAACCCCATGGAATGTAGGTAAATATGATAGTACTAATAATAATTAATCATATAAAAAGTAAATGAATAAATAAATTCCCACGCTGGCTTCAAGAATGTTAGTTACGCTAATGTATTCAATATTCAATCCAAATAAGCAACTTAACCCCCCGGCCCCCCATCCATCCATTCTCATCACAATTCGTCCATTCGTGCATTCGTGACATATCCTCTCGGCGGATTATAACAGATATAAAGGCAATAACAACTGACATTTGGTCAAAAGGGGAGACAAAAAGGGGGGGGAAGGCAGGAGATAGGGAAGAAGGGGTCCCGCGTGACGATCGTTCATAAAAATGGTGGCTGGGGGGTTTGGGGTTTGGGGGGGAGAGTTGGAGGTGCAGTCAAGGTAAGAGGTGGGATATTCTTGTTGGTTGGCGGTTTGTTCGTTGGTGATGCTTTTGTGTGTGGATGTGTGGGCGTATGTACATGGACTGCTTTTCTTATGTATAATACCATATCATCAGATATATCCGAGGGAAAAAAGGCAACTGTGGTAGAGGAAGGCATTAGGGAGCTGAAGATGAAGGACGAGGATGTTATGATTCACAGACACGATATAATATATCGGTCATCCACTGAGCTAGGTAGGTGCTGCACTCGTCGTTGGTTGTTGGATAGGCGTAGTGGGTGTGGAAGTAGTAGGGATGGAAATATCTGCAGCCGTGTCTGTATCACCGCTTGGATTGGCAGCGGGGCTCCGACTGGCACTGGCACTGGCACTGGCACTGGCACTGGCGCTGGCGCTGGCGCTGGCAGTGGCAGTGACGTCGGTATCAGTTTGCGTACTAGTACCGAGTTTAGCAATACCACCAGCACCAGCACCAGCACAGCACCAGCACCTCCAGCACACCACCGCCATCCATCGTCACCATCACTCTCCCCATGCCTCCTCGTCCGCACCCGGAACCCGCTCCCTCAGCCACGTCGATAACCGATTCCGCCTCGACGCCTCATCCATCTGCCCCTGGCCACTTCCTTCGGCTACTGCTGGTGACGACGACGCCTCGGTAATAGCCCCCGTCGCCGTCACGTTGTTGTTACCGTCGTTCGTGCGGTGTTGTTCACTACTGCCGCGCATGTGCCGGAGCGTATAGAGGCGGCGTTGGCGTTGGTGTTCCTGTTCCGCACTATCGTTTTCGGTACCTGTGTCTAATATCATGCCGCGAGTAGAGGCGGGGACGAAGTAAGTTGATACCCTGCGGTAGCGGCGGGCGTAGGAGGTGCGGAAGTGGTGGTGGGAATGGCCGGAGTGCCGGGCTAGCGTTGATGGGGGTGTCGGCGTAGTCGCTCGGGATGGTGTGGAGGTTGGAGTTGCGGCGACATCGGGTTCGGGTTCGGCTTCTTCAGGGTTGAGGTTTATGCGGCTGTCGTTGGTTGGGGGGTTAGCACAGGGGTATAATTCGATCTACATTATATTCTATGTTCGGAGAAGGATTTTGAGGGAGAGGAGAGAAGGCGGGGGAAGGGGGGATTTTGGGGGCTCACCAGAGAGGACAGGTCCCGGATACATTTATTAACCAAGGGTCAACGCATTCCGGGTGGAATTTGTGCTGGCACGGCAGAAGCCTCACGTCTTGACCCTTCACAAAGTCATCTGTGCAGATGGGGCAACCTAGCGTACCAGAATCTGCCAACTGATCCTGATTGACAGGATTCAGCTCTGGTGAAGCAGGGCCAATGACTCCCTCATCTTGCTCTTTTACCGTATTTGCAACCACATGGGATGTTGACGCCACCGTGGCCGATGTCGCTGTTCGTTCTTGTTGTGGTGCCACTGGTTGCAGTTGTTGCTGGTGTTGGTCTACTTGCCGAGTTTTAGGGGTTGTGACGCCGTCGGTGCGTGCGTCACTTCTCCGGTGATCATGTTCACCATCTGGATAGTTGGACGCTAGCTCAAGGTCCTGCTTCGCGGTCGGAGCTCTTTCGTCCTCGGGGTCGCCAAACTTGACAATGGGTAGTGTCTCAAGCATGGCTCGTGCAATTCCCTTGGCACGGCTCTGGCGAGGTCTACCAGCGGTGTTGCGCGGACCATATCGATCGGGGTTAAGATGGGCTCGAACAGCTCCGGTGATGATGACGGTAAGGAACAACGCGGTTATGATCCCCGTAATGCTATACAGGATTATCATGGCTACTGATAGATCTACTTAGATTCAGAAACGACACGATGTTTTCTTTTTGCGAATGATACTTACCGTTGTTTCGCTGACCTCCACTTCCAGGCCTCGATGAACCCATATCCATACTTGGAATTATAATTGATTCCCCGACGGCCCTCCCCCCGGAGAGCAAGGCCGTTGTTAACTCACTCGCAGCTAGGGAACTGGTGATGGTGAAAATATTCATGAATGGGGGCCAGTTAAGGGCCCCAGGAGAGTAGCTGCAATGTGAAGACTCGGTGCTGTAGAGGATGATCGCGTTGGGAGTGAAGGCCCCAGTGATGGCTAATCGTAGGGCGTCATCGACGTCGGATTCTCCAGAAGAGACGGACGCATCGCAGCTGACTAGAGCGATATCACTCCCATTAAGCCTGGTGGCGTTATTGGCATCTATGATCACTAATGTTCCAGTGATGTTGAAACGCTACATCACAGGGAAGAACAGGAAAATAACAGTTA